GGCAACTGGTAGATGGCACAGCCGTTGCGATTGCGCGAGCCCCTACCAGAAATTCGTTGCGCCGCCCTTGGGGGCAAAAAACGGTGAAAGCTAACGTACGAAATCAGAGGGCAGCACACGGTGTGATCGCGCGACCCTGCCCGTGAGCAATCTCCCAACTCATCTCTGCTTGTAGCGGTAGTTCTATGCTCAATTACGTATTCAGTGGGATTTAAAGAAGTAGTTTAAACGAATTAACGGGTCGCGCGTGACTCACTCATGGTTCTGTCAGTGCCTTTTAGTTTTGCCCTCCTCGGCTTCTCAAATTCCTTTCACGTAGAGAGGCGAGGAAAAAAAGAAAAAGCCACCCGGCCATTCGATTGGGTCGCGCGCGGTTCCGTCGTGAAGACGCAGCGAAGACGTTGTTAAGGCGTCGTGTTGGTGGCACTGACGATCGGTTGGATTGACAGTACCTGACACGCGTTTTGCTACACGTCGTCTCACACGTCACGTCGCGTCTTCTCGAATATGGCCGATTCCGCACCCAGCAAGACCGACATCGAAGACATATTCAAGCGCTTGCGAGCAATCCCCTCGAACAAGGTTAGTCCCATCACTCTTCTCGTAATTGTCGCATCATTTATTGGTAATATTGAACCCAACATCCTAACCCTTCCTAATGTTACTTTCTCCTCTAATTCTCGTCCCCCCGGATTATTAATTTAACGGTGATTAACCTTCACCGTGACTCAACCTTCGGTCGCTTCTCTGATGGGTAAGCTACCGGTTCACTGCTCGTTGGATATTTCTCCTTCGGGTTACATTTAATGTTTCAACATCTGCTGTGTCATGCCGAAGCACCTTTTTGCATTTTCAGACATGCTTCGACTGCGGCGCCAAAAACCCAGCATGGTCGAGCGTGACTTACGGAGTTTTCCTATGCATCGATTGTTCGGCGGTACATCGAAGTCTAGGGGTTCATCTTACGTTTGTGCGCTCCACGCAACTTGATACTAACTGGACATGGCTACAGCTAAGAAACATGCAAGTTGGAGGAAATTCCAGTGCCGTAAGTTTGTTTTCAAAGCTCTAACGATTGAGACACTTAGCACATGATTGGTTTAAACGTGTCGCAATGCTTTGTCGTTTGATCACTGGGTAAATCCGTTATTGTAGAATATGTTTGATGTTTCATATTCATAGAGGAAATTCTTCGCGCAACATAATTGTACGACAACAGATGCACAGCAGAAGTACACTTCGCGTGCTGCCTTGCAATACAAAGAGAAACTCGCGCGACTGTCTGCCGAAGCGATGAGAAGATATGGAACAAAGGTAATACTCAGACTTATTGCTTTTGTTAGGATCCACTTGGAAACGTTTTACAGAGATGTTACAATCATAGGGTTTTCTCCCCGTGCAACCAATCAAGGGTTCGGTGAGCCACGATTCTTTATTATGTTTTGGGTATTTCAATGCTTCTAACGATTTTGTTGCTAACTTTTTCTTTAACTTTCCGTTTGCCCAATTGTGATTATTATTATAGAGAGCACTGTATAAAACTGTAGTCTTGCACAATGAGAACAAAAAAAAAGGATAGTCCTTAAAATCGCTTCTTCACCAGAAGTAATGAAAAAGTAATAATTCCATCTAACAACACATAACCTATTTTGGATACTCTACGTATTCCAATGTACCATTTGCTGCAAAGTTTCACGCTAAAGTCCCAACCTACTTTCACTCGTTAAAGATGGTCCATTTCTTTATTTTTACAGCTACATTTAGATCAAGAAGTAGAGCACGAAACAGAAGAAACGAAGGAGGTGGACTTTTTCACAGAGCACGAAAATGCAATCTACCAGACTCCTAAAATGTCCGATCTTTCGGAGGGAACAAATGCTCTGACATTAAACTCGTCCTTAAATGTGGGAAAGTTTGGCAAGAGCAACGCGTCAGACCTTTCTAACGTTTCCACTCAGTGTCTTAAACCATTAGCATCGACTGGCCTGTCCAATTCTACAGCTTCGCTTGCTTCAGAACGGAAGTCTACGATTGGGATCGGCAAGATCCAGTCCAGGAGAACAGGAGTACGTAGCCCTCTTAAAAGTTGAAAATCTTCCTTCCTTCCCTCCTTCTTTCTTATCTCATCCTCCCCAATAATTCCATGCATCTAAATAAACATTTTATACAATTTCTCAGCTAGGTGCGAAGAAAGCAGGAGGTCTGGGAGCACAGAGGGTGAAGACAAACTTCGACGAGCTAGAGAAAAGCATCACATTGGACAGCGCGAAGGAGCCGGCGCTTCCAGAATCGACAGAGAAGGCGAAGGAAGAACAGGAAGAAATCGAGACGCGTCTCGCGTATCGTTACGAGCAGAATCTGTCGATGCAGGCTAAAAAAGTGGAGGAGACAGCGCGTCGTCTGGGTCCAGCGAAAGCGGGTCAGGCGGAGCGACTCGGTATGGGGCTCAATACTCGTAGGTACGCAACGCGCGACACAAGTGCCCGCTGTTCTTGGTTTCCGACCAAGTTCTCGAGAAATTTCTGTAGACCCTGAAGTAGTATCAGGATTTCCCACTCCATGGGTCTTTCCGGAAAATTCTGATCCCATGTTTTCTTACCAAATTAGCCAACCGTAACATTAGCGACCCTTACGGGAAAAGGTTGTAACATGACTATGCGATATGGCTTGTGTCTTGTCATTTTTATTTATTAATATTTGCAAGATGTTAAGGTGTGAAACTGCCATCTGAGGGGTCAATTGTTCATAAAACATTTCTCCAAACAGGGTATACTGACTCGTTTCAAACTTTACGATGTGAATATGGAGGCTATGAGGAAGGTCCTGATACCCATGAAATTTAATTTTGTATGAAAAATTGTTAAAATATCTATAAACAAATATAAAAAAAAAAATTGAAATATCATGGGTACCAGAACCTTCCTTACAGCCTTCATGTTCACGTCGTAAAGCTTAAGACGATTCTGTACACCCAGTTCGGAGAGAAGTTTCATAAATGACGCTTAGGCGCCACTTTCACGTCACCTTAAATAGTAAACATCTCGGTGGTTAATAAATGTTCTATGATACCATGTAAATACTTTTTAGACGACGCGTGGCGATCATTTGTAAAAATTCAAAAGTGTTATATTTTTGCCGCAAGAGTCGCTAGTGTTCCCATTGGCTAACTTGGCAGAGCTGCATAGGGTTACTTTTATATGGAAGTGGAAGTTTCCAAAGAATTCAGAAGTCCCATAGAAGCCCAAATCTTATGTTAGCGCTTAATGATGTAAAAGTTGGCTAACAAACATGTGTTAGCCAACGATATCTCATATACGGGAGGAAGAGAGACGCATATAGAAAGGCGAGTACTCTGTGCAAGATAAAGAAATAATGCAATTCGCTATATATCGCCATAAGATTAAGAGAGACGAAGAGATGATTACAGCGCTGCCATCCGTTGGCTAACATACTATTTATCAAGCATCGAACGTCCGTACCCTTCTGGGCTTCTATGGAGACTTCTGAATTCTTTTAAGTTCCTTATGCTACTTGTAACTGTACGATTAGTAATTCCTGTTTGCTTGCAGCGGCGCAAGTCATTCCGCTCTGGGGGACATGAGCACGATCACCCAGGAAGGGGGGTCCAATCTGAAAGTCGCATCGTCCCCGGAATCGAGGCCCAGGGACGCCGACATCGACGCGGTCCGCTTCATCTTCACCCTGGATGACATGCGAACCCACTTGCGTTGGAACGAGACGTGGAACAACAAGCCCAGCAACAAATCCCGCGGCGCCGACGACGACGACGATGACGACGAGGACATGGTCGTGATCACCGAGCCCGAAGTCGCCGCCGCGAAGCGCGAAACTACTCCCAAGCCCGACAACGATGCTGCTTTCGAGCGCGACGAGGCTAGGAAGAAATTCGGCGGTGCCAAGGCCATCAGCTCCGATCAGTTCTTCCGGGACACCATGGGCGACGATTCGGTAAATTGCTTGGTAATACTGAACCCTCGGTTAGATTAGTAGAGTTAGAGTGCGAAGGTCAGGGTTGATAAGAATCACGATTTTATAAGTATCTTAATTATTCAAATAAATTCATCTAAATGAATAGATCAAGGTGGTGTGATAGTGGCGTCAAAGAGATCTCGTTTATGAAACTTCTCCGAACTGGGTGCACCGAATCGTTTTAAACTTGAAAATTTGAAAATGGAGGGTATAAGGAAGGTCCTGACACTCATAAAATTTCAGTTGTTCTTTCTTTTTGAATTTGTTCATAGATGTTTCTCATATTTGTCATAGAGAAGGTAATTTCGTGAGTGTCAGGACCTTCCTTACAGCCTCCGTGTTCACGTTGTAAAGTGTGACGCGATTCGGTACACACAGTTCGTAGAAAAGTTTCATGAACGATTGAACTTTCAGATGTCATTTTCACATCCCATTAAATGGGTAATACTTCACAATTATCGTAATTTGTTTCCGCTATTCGAGATCATGCAAACCACCGCCTGATGATTATTAGTTTGTGCATTGTGGCAAATTGGCAGGTTCTACAAAACGTAACGTACTTTCATTATGCCAAGCATGGGTCCATGATAAGTTCTCTTATTTGAGAAATAAATATCGAACTGAAGTGCCGAACATTGACGTTAAGTATTCGGTGCCGTTCATGCTTTAACACTAAACCTACAAACGGCGAGTCAAATTGACCAGTTTAAATGGTACTTGTAATGGGCGTATAAGTCGTCGGTAGATTTAGTGTTAAAATGTATCTGGCGCGAAGCTCTATTTAGTATGCTGAGATGAAGAAACTCGTTTCTACTAATTCTACCGATCTAAATAAGACCTCGGGGACTTCTTCAGGAGGCCGAACTCATGTTACTCTTCAACCTTCCAGATCGAGCGCAAGAGCAACCTGCGTCGCTTCGAAGGGTCCTCCAGTATCTCCTCGTCCGACTATTTCGGCACCGGCAACTCGGGCCGGTCCTCCGGGTCGGCGTCCTTGGCCCCACGAGGCGGAGGGGTCGACTTGGAGGACGTGCGCGAAAGTGTGCGACAGGGCGTCAACAAGGTGGCCGGAAGGCTCAGCTCCCTCGCCAGCGCTGCGGTTTCCTCTATACAAGACCGGTACGGCTACTGAAAGGGGAACCCTTCCTCGTTCGAGTAATTAAGGTTGCATATGTATTCTCAGGAGACTTTCCATACTGTTAAACGGGATTGTAAATAAAGAGCGTTTACTCGAAACGCTGGCTCGCGTGGCTCGTCCCTAATCGGAGGAGCACCTTAAGGTGATATGAGTCAGCCTGTATATATAACTGAGAAGTCAAATCGTTGATGAAAAAATATTCCCCGAATGGGGTGTACCGATTAGTTTGAAATTTTACCACGGGAATACGGAGGTCCTGAAGTAGGTCCTGAAACTCAGGAAATTTCAATTTTCATGAGAAATTTATTTACTTATCATGGACTAGAACCAACATGCCGTGGGCCGTGTACGCTTTCGATGTTTTACGCTTCTTGGAAGCTTAGAATCGAGACTGAAGAGTATCAGGACCTAGCTCGAACAATTTAGAAAACCATAGAAATGGAATGTTATGGAGTCAAGTGGGAAAATATGGAAAATAGTTTGAAGAACGATTGCAAGAGAATGCTGGCCCGCCCCGGGGCTAACGCTTGTCTTTAGAGCAAAAATTTAGTTGCAGTTAAACTTCACAGATGGCGACATTGATCCTAAACAGTCGTTAGAATAACGAATTCACGGGATTTCGACAGTTGTACATCGATTTCTTTATCATTACTTTATCAAAACGACATAATGGAATACTTCACTTCGTATAATTCTCAACGTAGACTGTAAAAGACTTCGACATAAATATAAATGTCGGTACCGTGACGCGCCAGCTTATGTTACCACTTGAGTATTCAAAATGACGTTACCACCAAAAAGGGTATAGATGAATTCATATCATCTCAAAGTGCACTGTTAAAAACATTTTTTGGAAATATAGTAGAGTACACGCGTAGTTGATGTTCTTTTCAACATATCTCCAAGTGTCGTGTACATTTGTTCAGTTTCGAGACACGTTCGTATTCGAAAGTGTTCCAAATATCGAATACTTCCACAAGACCGCAATTGTTAAAAACTCTGTTCACATCTGTCCTATTTCCGTTCCGAATGACTGTTCCTTCTTGTAGGATACTATTGTATTCGAAGGCGTTCGAAGTATCGAAGGATTTTTAACAGTGTGCTCAACAGCAAAGAATTCAGAAGTCTCCATAGAAGCCCAGAAGGATACGGACGTTCGATGCTCGATAAATAGTATGTTAGCCAACGGATGGCGGCGCTGTAATCATCTCTCCGTCTCTCTTAGTCTTACGGCGATGTATAACGAATTGCATTATTTCTTTATCTTACACAGAGTATTCGCCTTTCTATGTGCGTCTCTCTTCCTCCCGTATGTAAGATAACGTTGGCTAACACATGCGATCTCTTTTTTACCCCTAATCCTGCTTTTTAGCCAACGTTTAGAGCATCGAGCGCTGACATAGGGTCTGGGCTTCCTTGGAACTTCTGGACTCTTTGCCAACAGGGAAGACGGGAAGAGACGAGATGGGCGTTTCGTCCGCAGTTACGTGTAATTTAATAAGATAAAACCGGAACGAGGGCCGTCACCCTCGCGACGTCTCGGGCGAGTCAGGCAGAGGGAGGTCGGGCGCAGGCTGCCGACACCTCTTCAGGAGCTCGACGTACGACTTGCCGTGGAGGAAGCAGACCAGGACGACCGTCATGTTGTCGCATCCCGTGCCCATGAGAGCGTCCGGCGCCAGGCACCGAGTCATCAGCTCCTCGCAGATCTCCTCGGGGTCGACCAGAGGGCTGGCCTCGAGGGACCCTGCGAGTCGGTCGCGCACGAATTGCACCACGTCCTCGTTGTTCATCACGTCCCAAATGCCATCGCACGCCAGGAGGGCGAATTCCCAGTCTTCGGTTATGTCAAACTGTCGCACGTCCGGGTATGCTGCGCGACAAAATCCTGGCATGATCATCTGGGACGCGGTTTAATCGCGAGGGCTACTCGAGCATTACCCGTGACGATCTGCTCCTCCGCTGGCTTGTTTGCGTTCATCTTGAACACAAAATCACCTAGGGCACGAGATAGGGCCAAGTGGCCGTTGACTCTGTTGAATTCTACCCAGCCACCTGCTGCCTCTATGCGCTCGCGTTCCCTCGCCAACGTCGGCTTGTGGTCCTCGCTGAGCATCACCGTTCTTCCCAGGACACTCGCCACTGCTCTACTGTCCCCGGCGTTAGCCTTCAAAAGAGACCTAATGTTACTTTCCTTTAGTTTGACGTTACCTTGTGATTAACACTCTGCGGTCCATGGAACGAAATACTCAATACTGCTGTCTTACTTAAACCGCACTCTTCTGGCCAGGAATTAATGTAGTGTAAAAGCTACCGTTAGTATTAATTATTCGGCATTTGTAGCCACACTTCTGCATGGACATGAATTAATGACGATATGATAGCTCTTATTAATCTTAATTTTTTATTTTTCACTGTAAAATTGAAGCTCGTAGGCTGAGATAAATTGGTAGACCGGAAAGTGTTAATGTATAAAAAAAGAGAAATGTGTATTGCAGTTCCTTACGCTGTATAAAATATTGTCCTTAATTAGCAGCGCGATGACCGTCGTGCCAGACTGTTCGTCCTTCATGGATGGATCGTACCGCACAGCTTTGTCTAAGTCAAGGAAGCCTTGTCGAATCGCTTCGGCGATATTGCCCTGTTTGTACTCGGGTCGTTTGATGATGTATTCGTGCAAATGCATCCCCGCGTATTGTGCCATAGCAACACCTGGGGAGAATGTGTCTTATTGATGGCTCCGATAACTAAAAGAGCGTCGTTAGGGACTGAGATCTCACCACCGTGGCCATCGTACACTGCGAAAAACGCAGTGCCTGGATCGTCAGGCAAAGATAGAATGTGAACGTGAGAATCTTCCATTTTGATGCGCCAACCCTGCATACATGAGCTACCCACGCGGTAGGAGGAATTGCGACAACATGCTGATTTTTTCGTGGTTACCGGTTCACCTAGTGTCTGTCCCATTGTCAAAATTGTATGGAAACCGTCGGTGATTTACTGTATACTTCTAAAGAGATTGATTGCTCTCATTTTAATGATGCTACTGGAAATTGATAATATTCATTAATAGGGTTCTATTCGCATCGCGTCTAAACTATAAATTAAACGATGAATCTTACCAAAGTTAAGCGTTAAACTTCCGAACACTAGATAAAGTGTCATTGCACCGAGTTCTTCACACTGATACTCAATCGATACCACAAGTACTCCAGAGATATCCACCAAAATTAAATGTCAGATGTTAAGTCGTCAAAGTCATTTCAATCACTGGGAACTTCGTACAACTTTGAGATGTCACTTAAATCACAATCAATGAAGGTTAGATTTAGAATAGTATATAAATGTTAACGACCAATTTAATCAAGCTGGATCTCGTGACAACGATTTGAATTGTCTATAGAGATACGAGTATGTGCTCATTAGGTAAATTCCCTCGCAAATCAACCCTTCCGACCAATTCTGCTCTCAGCTGTTCCTGGCTGTTCCATAACCTGCACATTACGTTCCGATCTGTACTTTCTAAAATCATGTATGGAATACCAGCATTAATGCAGATAATTGTCCCATTGTATTTACACGGTATCTTTCAGTATCTTTTGAATGACAGCTATTGCCAACTAGTGTCAGGCGTAAAAAAGTTGCTACATAGAAACTCACAGTAGAGATTCGGTTCGACCTTGAGATTTTGGGCGATCGAAACGAGTTTTCCTTCCTTCTCTAATTTGTTAGTTTCTGTATTCATCACAAGAGGCACTGGGCGTCTGTTTAAACAGAGAATCTCTGGTTGGGATCAGAGATGAGTTGGATCCCTGAGTTGCTGCCGTTCAGGGCAAGTGCATTAGCTGCCTGCATTCTCCACCGAGGGCAGCACAGACGGCGACCGCGCGACCCTGCCCGTGAGCATTCTCCCAACTCATCTCTGCCATTACTTACCGGTTAAAACTAGCGGCCGCATCTGACGTTGATAAATACATTGTTAAATTGAATTAGTGTTCTTTATACTCGATTTCATTGGAATCGTTTTTCAACTTATAAAGCTTTAAAATGCTTAAGAACCTGGTAAGTGATATTGTCAACTCCGTTCATTGTCTAGATTATTCATAATTACTCTTATTGTTATCATTCTTAGGTTATGTTCGCACGTTTTCAGATACGATTGCACGGGACGAGCAAGGAAGTAAATCGTCTTCTGCACGTCGGAAGCCGGTGTATGACGACCGTCGAAACTAATAATGCCACGGAAATGCCACGACTGGAGAAATGTAAGTTCACCCGATTACTAGTTAGACCGATTGGTTTGGAGATAAATGTTTCTTAAGTGTACTCTTAAAGTACAGTAATCGGTAAGGTGAAGGAAATCTTGCGTCATTACAGCGATTAATCAAGTTACTCTACTCGGAAGGGTAGGTAACGAGCCACAAAAACGAGGAACGGAAGAACATCCTGTTATAACGTTCTCAATAGCCACGCATGAATTGTACAAGTACGAGACTGGTAAGAGTAAATGCAATCATGTACGATAACGTGTTACGTTAAGCATTGCATGCTTTGTCATAATTCTAGATTTAAATGAAACGTATCGATATTATCCAGTCTATTTCAAAAGTGCATGTATTTAAGGTTTAGTATCGTTCAACAGGTGACTATGTTCAGCGAACTAATTGGCACAGAATCTGTGTATTCAGGCCCAAATTAAGAGATACTGTGTACAATTACTTGAGGAAGGGCCAACGAGTTTTAGTTAATGGTAGATTAAGCTATGGGGAAGTAAAAGATGAAGATGGGCAAGTCAGACCCACTACCGCTATTATAGCGGATGACGTGATATTTTTTTCACCTTCTTAATACGCCCTCGTCTTCAAATTAGATTTAAAGTGCATATATTTTGTAAGTTTACATTAAAATAAATATAACAGCAGAATATTCCTGTGTTTTTGACGATGAAAATAATGATTCTTCCTTCTCAAATAGTCGGAGTAATTATTAATCTTTTTAATTCATATATGATCTGGCACAATGGCTCGCGAATGAATATGGAAAACCAAGAATGACCAAGGGAATTAATTAATGGGATGTTTAAGAAAAGGCAAGAATATCTTAATAAGTAAATAAGTCTATATTTACAATACTCATCTGTCATCTCTCCGTAACAAGTTACATAATAAAATGGTGCTATGCCTAGAATTTTACAAGTGTTATATGTTTTTATACACGATACTCTCATTCACGCAACATTGAATATTTCTTCGACGATTCAGTCAAAAATCTACCTGTTCAAATAATTCTGTATCAGCTTCCTCTGCAGATCCATCCACGTATAAATTATGTACACTTTATGAACGAAAATTAAAGATATATATTTATATATATATATATACGTATTTATATATATAAATTTGTGTGCTGTGTGAGGTGTGTGTGTATACATATTTCTCTTATTATCTCATTTATATAATGCTCTCTTAAAACTTGCACTCTCTATTTGTCTCTTTCTCTCTCTTTCGCGCGCTTGCTTATTTAATTAATTACTTATTAACTCTTACGCCACTTTACCTTACAGAGATCACAGTATACAAAGAAGCCAGATAAAGGTTTCGATTCTATCAAAGACTTACGCATTCATTCCCCCATTCGCTCGCAGTCCGACGCACACGCACCTCGTACCGAATCCCTGTTGCTTGTTTCGTCTGATTTCCGATTCTCTCTATCGTGTGAAAAAATATTCATATATTTCCCTCTGTCTATCGACAATATTTTTCGACCTTCCGTCCTGTATATCCCCCGACTTATCTTTTCGATAGAGGTAACCGGGCAAGGCCCTAGCGTCCTGGTCGTGGAATGTAAGCCACAGAGTCCTCGTGCAACCGCATAGAAATTTCGAATATAAATTTTGGTAGTAAAATATATNAACTCTGGCCCCGGATTTTTCGTAAACTTCTTACGACTCTTTTTTTCCCCTCCTTCATCGATAGATCATCTCTGTCTCGTATTCGTACAAGCATTCTCTCTTATCACTCGCGCTCTTGTTCAATAGAGTATCAACTTATGTACAATTAGAGATCCTACGCGCTATAGTATAGTCGATTACAGTTTATGAACTCGCGTCCTAACCTGCAAAACGTTTGGACACACCGGCGCTCCTCCCGGAGTCGACGTTTCTATATTTTTTCAGGCTACGGTACGGTAGGCCGAAGCGTTTCTTTAAAATTTATACATTCCCGGCACACGCGTTATTTATTAGGACTGTTCGAATTAGCTGTACTTTATGCAATTTGTATGCAACTAGTCTAACTGACTGCACTAAGCTTTCCTTGAGAAGTGCATACGTGTCGATACATTTCAAGTTCCATTCAAACTGGTTCAATGGAAATGGAAAAACTGAAATAATTCTTCTTTTTAGGTTATCTTAATATATTAACTTTAGGCTTTGTGATACCGAATGATATCTTCTAGCATTACCTGCACCTACTCGCAAGCGAGTGCAGAAAATGCTACACTTTGCACTGAAAGATGTAAAAGTGTAATTGCACACGTGAATTGAAGGCCAAACCTGGCGAAAGGATACGCTAAGTGTAAATGTCCAGCTAAGCCGAACAAGCCGTATGAAACTGATCGTCGACATACGATACCGTAACCTCTCACCCACATTCCGAGACCTTCGGTACTGGCAGATCTGTACGCGCTTTTCTTTCCTTAAGAGTTAATAACATTTATCGTTCTTGGCACAAACTTTGTCAGAGCGAAGTACGGGCAGCTCGACCTGCACCGCTTTTTAACCACGCATTTGTATTGTAGTACAGTTGTCGAAGTTAGTGAAGTGTAACAACGACGTTCCAAAGTATAGACTGCTTCGCTTAAAGCCAGTTGTACGTTTAATGAAAAATGACAGATGCAAGGAAAGTAACACCGATCACTCTAACCGTGACGTACTCCTTCGGTATACTTTACTCCTCGATGAATCGAAATACGAACACAAAACTCCCCGACGAAGCGTCTTCTTGAACCTACATAACCTAGAAATCACTCGAGCAGTCTTACACTTTCATCTGTCGTTGGAACTCCGGTTATCAAAACCCAGGTAATCTTTAGCTCTCGATAACACTGGGCAAAGACTATGACCGCTTTGAAGAAATAAACACAATTTCCAAAGTCAACCCTGCATGATACAAATAACGTTCCAGATGGAGTAACATTTGTTCGCAACATATCTTGACACCACGTCAGTGATCGAACTAATGTTACGTCCAATATGAAGAGTTGAGCAAGCTGTCGACACAGCTGTACCTCTCGACAGAATAGAAATTAGCCTTTACTGGTTTCGACCGATGAAATGGAGTTTTCTTCGCTGACTACCATCACCATTGTAATATTATCTACCTAAAAGAGCTTCCAGGCTCTGTCGACAGCAGAGAGTCGGCTCGAAGGTAAATAAAATGCTGCGAGATATCCGCAACGGAATCCCCTCGAGAAACATATTCCCTCGAACGACTCCGCGATCGACTGAATTGTCGGTTGGTCTTAACCCTTTCTATCCCGCCGTATCACGGAAGACGAATAACTCTAAATTAACTTTTCCCCTTCAAAATGTTTACAGACGAAAGCGTCTCTAATCATCGAATTTACGTCCCAGTGAGATATTTCCGCCGGGAAGGAAAGGATTAATCCACGGAACGCAGGCTAACGTAGTTATTTGTCACGCCGTGGTTTCTTTACGGAGACGAAGAGAGGAGCGCGAGGAGTACCCCGAAGACGAGGTCGGAGATTCCTCGCACTCGGTAGTCTTTCTAACTTCCCTAGACCCTAATCTTCCACTTAACCGCTCTAGGACTGGTCGAGGGTGGTTTAAAAAATTGCACGTCCAGAAAGTCCCCAGAGTTCCTGGCGCAGATGGATCCTAGAGGGTCTTCAAGTAGTTCCAGTCATTCGCCGACAGTCTATCCAAGGATGGACCATCATCGCATCGATCCAGGTTACTTCAAGATCCGGCACTCCTCTTCATGGCGAACCGTCGCATCTTTAAACCTCTTCTTCGGGTCCAGGTCTTCTAGATCCACTCGATGAAGTCGTCCTCCACGTTCTCATTGCACATCGTTCTTCCAAGTTCCAGGGTCCCAGGATATCTCCAGGGTCGACGAGTTTTCCAATGGTCCACCGAAGATCTCTAAGTTCTCCTCAAGGTAAATCCCACCTGGGTCCGCAGAGGGTCATCCTCTTCTTCGGGCCCTGGCTAGGTCGTCCTCCACCTTCATTGCACATCGTTCTTCCCGATTTCAGAGAGTCCCCGGCGCTCCTCGGGGTCGACGAGTGTTCCGATGGTCCATCCAGGGTCCTCCTTCCGTCTCCACCACCTCGACGCAGGTCTCTTCGAGGTCCCGCGACGTCTCCTCTTCGAGCTTCCGCAGAGGGTCATCCTCTTCGAGCCCGACCCCACCGGACGAGGTCATCCTCCGCCTTCATTGCACATCGTCCCCCCTCTTCGGGGAGTCCCGGGAGTCTCTTCAAGATCCCTTCAAGATCTCTCCGAGTCTTCCGCATCTCGACCGTGCCCTCCGCAATCTCCGGCCGTGGCCTCGCGCGATCCCGCGTCCTCGGCCGCTTCCGGGTGCCCCGGAAGTCCGGAGATCCATGGAGTTAACTCGAGGAGGCCGCCGCTCACCGTCGATCGGCCCGCGAGGATCGGATCCGCGTTACGTCGGCCCTCGGAACGAGTCCACGAGGTCGCCCCTCGACCTCTGGCCGGTTCTCTCACCCGCGGCGGCTAATCGCCTGCGCGCTCGGGCATCCGCGTCACAGCTAGGACCCGCGTCACTTCCGCTCCTCCGCTTCCTGATTAGTCTTGACGAGGTTGTACGCGTGGCTCCTGTACTTCGCCGGCGGGTCGTGCAACGCCAACGGCTCGCTCGCCGGCAGGTTCAGGCTCGCCATCGACAGGTCCGTCGGCAACTCCGCCTCCGGCTCCAACGTACCCGACACCGAGCCCTCCTCCTCGGGCTCCGATTTTATCCGCATCTGCTGGCGCAACAGCGAGATGTTCTTGATGTTCTTCAGCTCCGTCGGGTTCCGGAGAAATCTGCGGCAAGCGGGATAAACGGCGTTATAATGAGATTAAAGACTGGCGGGAAAGAATTCTAAATTTATTGCAGTTTTCCGATACCATATATATATGAGGTATAATATACTGCGTTTTATATTATATATATAATAATTGTACTACACCCCTTAAGGTGATATGAAAGTGTGATATATACGTAACAAAATGTCAAAATATTGATAACAAATTTGATGACCAAACTTTATGGCGTTATAATGAGATTAAGGGCTGGTGGGAAAGAATTGTAAATTTATTGCAATTTTTCGATATCATATATCGATCAAAGTTGTATAAATATTGACTTATTGGTGTGTATATTTCGTTACTTTCGTATCACCTTAATCTCTGGTGTTTAAATTGTCAGGATGTGGAGGGAACTCGAGATGACCCTGAAGAGTACTCACTGGTAACAGTGGCGTTCCCCCTGGACCTTCCTGAGGATGTTGACGCGGTAATAGTAGCGAAGCGCCCTGCTCATCTTGTCGTAGTTCATGGAAAGGTGGTTCTTCTGGATGCCCCAGAGCCTGGCCAGACCCGGTGGGTCGACGATCTTGAAGACTCCGGTTTCCCGGCTCTTCCAGGCGATGTAGTGCGTGTATCGCTGGGAGGGGTCGTTGAGCAGTTGCTGTAGGAAGTCCCAGAGGAGTCTGCCGTCTGCGGAGAGAGATCCCTTGTTAACGAGGACACGTCCCTGAGTCCTTATCGCTGGTAAGCGATAAGGATTGCGAGCGAATCATTTACTTTCTGGGTGAAATTAATAATAATGTCTCTTCCTTAAGTTATTACTCGGCACCGATGAAATCGATTTTGTTAGAAACAAAGGCATATCAGCTGATGGCGAACTCGCCATCGCCTTGCCGATGATAAGGTTAACTAACCCTTATCACTCCAAGAATAGAAATTTACTCTCTAGGCGAAATTAATAAAAATGTCTCTTCTTAAAGTTATTAATCAGCACCGGTGAAATCGATTTTGTTAGAATCATCGGCAGGTCAACTGATAGCGAGTTAACCCTTATCACTCCAAGAATAAAAAGTCACTCTCTAGGCCAAATTAATAAAAATATCTCTTCAGTACCATTCAAAGAAATATTTCGTCAGTACCATTCAAAGAAATATTTCTTCAGTACCATTGAAAGAAATATTTATTCAGTACCATTTAAAGAAACATTTCTTCAGTACCATTCAAAGAAATATTTCTTCGGTACCATTCAAAGAAATATTACTTCAGTACCACTCAAAGAAACATTTCTTCAGTGCCATTCAAAGAAATATTTCTTCAGTACCATTCAAAGAAATATGTCTTCAGTACCACTCAAAGAAATATTTCTTCAGTACCATTTAAAGAAATATATCTTCAGTGCCATTCAAAGAAATATTTCTTCAGTACCATTCAAAGAAACATTTCTTCGGTACCATTCAAAGAAATATTTCTTCGGTACCATTCAAAGAAAAATATCTTCAGTGCCATTCAAAGAAATATTTCTTCAGTACCATTTAATGAAATATTTCATCAGTACCACTCAAAGAAATATATCTTCAGTGCCATTAAAAGAAATATTTCTTCAATACCATTCAAAGAAACATTCCTTAGGTTGAACGAATCTTTATTTCTCGGTATACGGAATCGACCTCGGGGGTGTTCTCGAAACTCTCCAGGGATACTCACTCGTGTTGGGCTCGTGGGCGTCGTTGGGGAAGAACTCGCGGGCGGCGGGCGAGCCCTGGGTGGGCCTGAAGGCCCCAGGGGTTAGGGGGATCATCTGCGGGGGCAGCGTGGGGCTCGGCTGGTCCTTGACGCAGACCTCGCTGAGCCGCTGCGCCGTCAGGGCGGTCGGCGTCGCCGGGGGACTGCCCCCTGCCGACTGCTGGTTGTCCTCGTCGGAGTCGCTCCGGTAGACCTGAGTCTGGGCGGCGTCCGCGTGGCCGGGCGAGCCCGCCTGGCTGTCCACCGAGGGCGCCGGCGAGAGGGTCACCGAGTTCGCCGACATCAGGGAGGCCAGGTTCGCCGTGTAGGGGCTCTCCACCCACGTCGGCGTCGGAGGGTGCGAGTGGGGGCTCAGGGGGTACGCCGAGGGCCGCGTCGGCGTCACCGGGCTGCTCGGCAGGCACCTCTGGAGTTGACTGAAGTCCCGGGCCAGCATGCTCAGGACGTTGTGCAGCACGTCGCCCGCGCCCGGACACCGCTCACCCAGGTCCGCCTTCGTCAGAAGGCACAGCGCCTTGCCGTTCATCTGGAAGACGTCCATGTCGAACTGCGGCAGGTCGAACTCCCGCTCCGCCCACCGCAGGAACGCCGCCACGTCCTCGCGAGACCACAGTCGCGGGTCGGATGCTGCGAACATGGACCAAGAGACATGTAAGGGCTTCCGGTTTGGGCACGGACTCGGGTACATGGGAAGACTTTCAAAAATGAGGGGGCACGTTAAGGTGACGTGAAACACCCTGCAAATCAGTAGATTCGAGTACAACACTTTTTTTTAAGGGTATTAGACCAAACTGTCCGAAACTTTGACACGTCCCTCCATCTAAAAATTGTCCTGACACATTCAACATTTGAATTTTCCAAAAAATTGGTTAACTCAGTCCAGACCAGAAACCAAAATGGCGTCGAGCTCTCATATTTCAATCAATATACAATTATCGAAGGCTCTGATATGAGATACGAAAGGGTCAGGACAATTTTACGACAATTTAGAATAATCTGGTAATCGATAAACTCGCATTTGAACGGGATAAAGGCAAAAAAAGTGTTGTATGCGCTTTAAGGTGAAGTGAAACACCCTGCAAATCAGTCGATTCGAATACAATACTTTTTTTTAAGGGTATTAGACCAAACTGTCCGAAACTTTGACACGTCACTCCTCATCATCTAAGAATTGTCCTGACACATTGAAAATTTGAATTTTTCAACCAAATTTTTTAACTCAGTCCAGACCAGAAACCAAAATGGCGTCGAGCTCTCATATTTCGATTAATATACAATTATCGAAGGCTCTGATATGAGAATCGAAAGGGTCAGAACAATTTTACAACAATTTAGAACACTCTGGTAATCGATAAACTCGCATTTGAACGGGATAAAGGGGAAAAAAGTGTTGTATGCGCTTCTATACCAAAATGATGGGAATACGAGGTCTCGGAGTGAAAATTTAATTAACCTGGAAATCACAGATGGCGCAGGGGGTCCCTCTGCAATCAATTACGGCCCCATAAAACATGAATTCCGAGGATTTCTGGAGTTTTACTTCGATTTCTTTATAATTATTGTACGAAAACGACAGGTAGAATATGCCATTTGGTACAATATTTAATATAATTCGACACAGCTGTCAATATAAAAACAAACGTCTACGTGAGAATTATACGAACCGAAGGGTTCTATATGTCATTTCGGTAAAGTAATGATGAAAAGATCGATGTAAGTAAAATTCATCTATACCCTTTTTGGGGGGAGTGCCGTTTTGAATACTCAAATGGTAACATATTTTTTAAAAGAAAGTCATTTAAATACAGAAAGGGCACGAAACGTGTTTGTGTCGGTTTATCCAAACAGGTGAGATATAATTACCGAGACTCGTCGGCAGGTGCGTCTTGAAGTCCAGGAGAGGACTGGGCGGCGGATGCGCCGACGGTGAGAAGCTCATCGTGGGACCATATCTCCAGAGCAGGTCCGTCGGGCTGAACGGCAGCGAGATCCCCGGGGGCAACCGGGAGTCCATCCCCGTCATCCCGCCCGCGGCGGACACCGGCGGAAGCTGCGGCAGCTGGATCGTCGGCAGTAATTTCATAACACGTCCTCGGGACCGACCCTCTCTGGGTGGCGACTGCACCTGCAAAAATCAAACGAGAAGTCGATTAGCCCCGGGTCCCTCTCGATCTTAGGTTTCGTTGGGTAATGTACTCTAAATAGGACCGCCAAATAATTCACCGAAATCAATAGACTTTAGAGAACGTGATGCTTAATCCTTTAAACACGGAGCTATTTCGACATAAGGGCGAAATTCGGCTGACCGTGCAGGCGATATTGGACCAAACGTCGGGTGCCTTTAGGCGCTCTTAGTATCCAAACTGCTAAGGCGATATGAAAGAGTCATTCTATATACGTAAAACGTCAAAATGTTTATAAAACTTTTCTCCAAACTGAATTAACCGAATCATGTGGACTTACGTATCAGTAGGTAGTACATTCTAAATAGGACTTCCAAATAATTCACCGAAATCAATAGACTTTAGAGGGCGTAATGCTTAATCCTTCAAACACGGAGCCATTTCGACATATGGGCGAAATTCGTCTGGCCGTGCAGGCAATATTGGACCAAACGTCGGGCGCCTTTAGGCGCTCTTAGTAGCCAAAGGACTAAAGCGATATGAAAGAATCATTCTATATATGTAAAACGTCAAAATGTTTATAAAACTTCTACAATCTGAGTGCATCGAATCATTTGAACTTCTCGTTAGTTAATACGTTCTAAATAGGACCGCGAAATAATTCACTGAAAAGTTGTATAAATATTTTCGCATTGCTCTTATTCTTCCTCAGGTAATCAATCTTTGAGAGGATCGCTAGGCAAATAACTAGTTCAATTCATTTCAGAAGAGGTAACTCCTAACAACACCTTCTTCAAGGTCTAAATCCTCGCAGTCGAGGTGAAAAACGCGAAGTGCCGAGGGGCGCGCACGCAGGAAGGTAAGTGGAAGGAAGGAGCCTCGGACTCGCGAATTAGCATAGAATGTGGAGGCATAAGGAACGAGAGAGCCCGCAGGAAGAGAATATCCGCTCGGGGAGCCGACATTTGCATAAGGCATTTCCATTCCGCCTTGGCGATGGGCACTTCCGCTCGCGTCCAAGAGAGATCTCTGGGGACGTTCCCGGTTTTGGAAACGAAGAGCTTGGAAGAGGGAAAAACAAGAGCCTGGAAGAATCGACTGATTTGAGGGGGGTTTCACTTCACCTTAAGTTTGAAATGAGAACACAAATTTTCAATGTGTCAGGACAATTCTAAAATGATCGCGAATCACGTGTTAAAGTTTTGGATAGTTTGGTACAATATCCTTAAAAAAAGTGTTTTATTCGAATCGACTGATTTGAGGGGGGTTTCACTTCATCTTAAGCCATTATCTGTGCAATTGGAAAAGAGAACCCAAATTTTCAATGTATTAGGACAATTCTTAGATCACGAGTCACGTGTCAAAGTTTCGGACAGTTTGGTCCAATACCTTTAAATAAAAGTGTTTTATTCGAATCGACTTATTTAAGAGGGGTTTCACTTCACCTTAAGCCATTATCTGTGCAGTTCGAAAAGAGAACCCAAATTTTAAATGTGTCGGGACAATTCTTAGAAGATCACGAATCACGTGACAAAGTTTCGGACAGTTTGGTTCAATACCCTTAAAAAAAAAAGTGTTTTATTCGAATCGACTGATTTAAGAGGGCTTACGACTTAACTTTAATTAAATAATAAAATTAACCGGATTTAAGACTTAACCTTAAGCCATTATCTGTGCAGTTTGAAAAGAGAATCCTTATTTTGAATGTGTCAGGACAATTCGTAGACGATTGCGAGTCACGTGACAAAGTTTCGGATAGTTTGGTCCAATACCTTTAAAAAAAAGTGTTTTATTCGAATCGACTGATTTGAGGGGGGTTTCACTTCATCTTAAGTCATTATCTGTGCAATTTGAAAAGAGAACCCAAATTTTGAATATGTCAGGACAATTCTTAGACGATCGCGAGTCACGTGTCAAACTTTCGGACAATTTGGTCCAATACCTTTAAATAAAAGTGTTTTATTCGAATCGACTGATTTAAGAGGTGTTTCACTTGACCTTAAGCCGTTACCTGTGAAATTTGAAAAGAAAACACAAATTTTAAATGTATCAGAACAATTCTTAGATGATCGCGAGTCACGTGTCAAAGTTTCAGACAGTTTGGTCCAATACCCTTTAAAAAAAGTGTTTCATTCGAATCGACTGATTTGAGGGGGGTTTCACTTCACCTTAAGCCATTAACTGTGCAGTTTGAAAAGAGGACCCAAATTTTAAATGTATCAGGACAATTCTTAGACGATCACGAGTCACGTGTCAAAGTTTCAGACAGTTTGGTTCAATACCCTTAAAAAAAAGTGATGTATTCGAATCGACAGATTTGAGGGGGGTTTCACTTCACCTTAAGCCGTAATCTGTTCAGTCTGAAAAGAGAGCCCAAGGATCCTTCGGATCCAGGACGATCGAGCGTCGTGCGGAAGGAATCGCATGATCGGCGTTCCGCGCGTTACGCAACCGAGTCGTGCAAGCTCGATTAGCCGGCGATTCTTACGCGTCACGTCCGACACTTAACTTTTTACGCGTCCTCCCTCTCCTTCTATCTCGCGTGCACGGGCCTTAAATGGGCTTAAGTGCAAAAAGGTGACATTTCTAAGCGACTCCGAAGGGGCCCTCTCGTGCCGAGGTGCCCCTCATTTCCGACCCTTTCGTCATTTTCCATCTCGCGGATCGGCGTCATCGAGCGAGCTCGCTGGACCGCTCAAATGTCCTCGGCTTTCCGTGTCCGACTTCCAGGAACTCGACCCGACCCCGGGACGTTGACTTTGTAGGAAATTTCCAATCTTCCGCACGGCGGAAAACACCCGGAAAACACGAGACGCAACTGCGACTCCGAGCGCGGCTATTAATTCAACCGATCCTCGATCTCGCCGTTTGTAGTGACTTATTGGCTTCTAGTCTTCATTTTTTATTATTTTTATTTTTTATTTTTTTTCTCGATCGCGCCGTATACACCTAGGAGGTGGAGGATCAATGCTCGATCACACGTTCGACACGTTCCGTGCCACACCGTGTACCACCCGAGGTTAACACGTATTATCGGCGGTACACGTGGCATGGTACGTGTTAAGGTGATATGAAACTAATATATACGTACGCAAAAGTCAAAATATTTATAACACTTTTCTCCAAACTGGGTGCACCGAATTATCTGAAACCTTTAACAGGTGATTATGGAGGATCTAAGAAAGAACGCGCTGCTCGTGAAATCTCACTTTCCACACGGCGGAAAACACCCGGAAAACACGAGACGCAACTGCGAATCGAAGAGCGACTATTAATTCAATTGATCCTTGATCTCGCCATTTGTAATGGCTTATTGACTTCTAGTCCATCTTTTTTTTTTATTTTTTTTTTTTTTCTTCATCGATCGCGCCATATACACCTAGGAGATGGAGGATCAATGCTCGATCACACGTTCGACACGTTCCGTGCCACGCCGTGTACCACCCGAGGTTAACGCGTATTATCAGTGGTACACGTGGCATGGAACGTGTTAAGGTGATATGAAACTAATATATACGTACCAAAAAGTCAAAATATTTATAAAACTTTTCGTCAAACTGGGTGCACCGAATTATCTGAAACCTTTAACACGTGATTATGGAGGCGACAAGGAAGAACGCGCTGCCCGTGAAATTTTATTTTTCGAAAGAAAAATATCTCTTTTGGTTCTTGTCCGAGATAAATGCAAAATTTCATTCGAAAAATGAAACTTCATGAGTGCATTCTTTCTTAGAGCTCCCATAATCACGTGTTAAAGTTTCAGACCATTCGATGTACCCAGTTTGGAGAAAAGTTTTATAAGTATTTTCATTTTTTCGTACGTATATATCACACTTTCATATCCCTTTAGTTACCCATAACCCTTTAGTTACTAAGAGCGCCTAAAGGCGCCCGACGTTTGGTCCAATATTGCCTGCACGGTCAGACGAATTTCGCCCATATGTCGAAATGACTCCGTGTTCAAAGGGTTAAAAGCAGGGAAGTCCTTTCCACGTTAAATTCGAAAGGCTCAGCTGTTCGGAAGTATTCCTTAAAATTCCCTTACTCTAAGATACTTTTTTTTGTACGCGATATTTATTTCTCTTTCATGGAGGTACCTCCGTGCGTAAAAGATTTATCTCCATGATTAAATTAATTAAATCGATTATCGCGAATCTCGTTAGTCGTCGACTCTATCAGTTTCCAGGATCCACCCTAACGATAAAGGAACATCTCGCATTTTCCTGACTTCCAAGACTTCTTTTGCGCCAAAAAGACGTGTATTAACGCCAAAAATGTCTTTACTTTAACACCAAGGAATTTCTCCCCATAAAAAAATTCTCTCTTTAATTAAAAATTCTATTTTCCTAAGCGAAGGATTTCCCTCCCGGATCAAACCAATCAAGACAATTAATTTGATTAAATCGACGAATTCGATCTCACGGTCCTCGTTATCTCTTATACCGTACTATACTTTAACACCAAGGAATTTTCCCCCATAAAAAAGATTCTCTCTTTAATTAAAAATTCTATTTTTCTAAGCGAAGGATTTCCCTCCCGGATCAAACCAATCAAGACAATTAATCTGATTAAATCGACGAATTCGATCTCACGGCCCTCGTTATCTCCTATACCGAGATTCCGAGATCCGTTGAAATCAGCGAAGCACGTCAGCTGGGTAATGCGAATCACGATCGCTTCCGGGATTTTCTTGAACCGGAAGTCTTAGCCATTCGACGCTACCCCTCTCAAGCCTTCCATCTAAAAATCGTTCCTCTTTAGATTATTTTTCCAACCGAAGGATTCCCTTCCCGGATCAAATCGACCAAGCCAAATGATAAGATTAAATCAATGAAGTCGAACTCGTGGCCCTCGTTATCTCCTTTGAATTCTCAGAATCCGTGACAATGAGCAAATCACTTCATCTAGGCCTTGTAAAGTCCTATCGCTTCCTGGATTTTCTGAAACCGGAAGTCTCAGC